TTATGCTGAGTCAGGCTTGATTTTTAGTAATCTTTTCCTGTTAAATAAATAAATCAAATCAAATCAAAATCAAATCAAGGAATGCTTTTCATGCACAACAGCAACCAGACCTCACTCCCTTCATATGTGCTATGCAACTCACTCAGCTGCCATCACAAAACTCATTCTTCCACTGCCACGCCTCTTCAGTCACATGACCTCTGCCTGTGTARCCTCACATTCTGCCCTAAGATGTTTCTGAACTCATTCTTGTTTCATAAATGTTGGACTATGTGATATGAACCTTCAGCAGCTTGTATCTCTGCTCAGAGAACATTTCAAAGGAACATCAGAGCTTGAATTCTTCTCGAGTGTAAAGGTTTTGTATTGTTAAATGTGTGAAATCAGAGTTTAAAGCTGAAATGTGAACAGAGGGACAGTTGTAGGTTCATATTATTCTGTCAGGTTTATGAAACAGAAACAAACGTGTATGTGCCATGCAGGCAGTGAACGCCTCACCTCTGTTTGCTCMTTCAAGGCGTCTCTGTAAAATCTTTTTTATGCCATGCTGATGGTGTTGGACATCTGACTCCTGACTGGTTGTTTTTCAGATGTTTGTTGACAACTTCCAGACAGCTAAAGAGGCTCTAAGCACAGCCACGGCTCAGGCAGCAGAGAAGGCAGCGTCCAGTGTTCGAGACTTTGCCCAGAAAAGTTTCCGTCTGGCCATGGACGTCAGGCTGAAGGCTCCGCTCATCATCATCCCTCAGTCCTCCACCTCCCATAATGCTTTGGTGATCGATCTGGGTCTCATCACGGTGGGGAACAGCTTCTCCCTGCAGCCGGCTAAAGGCTTCTCTCTGCCAGCTGTGCTGGAAAAGATGGTTGTCAAGCTGACGCAGCTGAAACTCGGCAGGTATCAACATCAGATTTCTCTGYACCAAGTGGAGGAGAGGAGGAATAATCCAACAAACAGCTTAATGACGAGTAAAAAATGGTCTAAGCAGGAAAATGATATTCTACTTTCTCAAACCAGATGTCTTAGTTAAGTGTGTGAAATTTGCATTTCATGGATTATATTACTGCATTTTACCCGTAGACCTCGGATAGATTTTGGCCCTCTCAGGGTCAAGGTTTGGGCACCCATGGCTTAGACTGTTGGAACAGGAAGTCTCAAAGACCTTGGCTGATGGTTGTTGGAATTTCAGTTAGTAACTAATGGTACCCTCAACCTTTCTTCAGACGTTTTCCAGGGATATTATTKATYTTTTATCMATTTATTCAGTGGTGGRCATCAGTCCCCTAAAGYGCAAATGCGTTAATTGYGGACCTAAATTTCTCCTCCGCGCTTTAGGGGTTTTACTAATTTCTACAAATGATGTGCGGATTTGCACTTTCTAAATTTAGAATTGAGTAKTGCTAATCGCAAATAAAGTTTCGAGGTCAATCGTCAAATTTGTCTAAAATAAAGAAAGAGTGTCGTCTATATCCACTACGTTATGTGGCTGACCGTCCTTCTTTGTGACGGTTTTAATTTAGTAATTTAGTTCCCACAATTCTTTGCTTGGCAGGAAGCAGTTGGAGCTATATTATATACTTATATGAGCTTTGGGAGGATAGAGGGAGAAATTAATTTATGACCCACATTTTTACCACCAACTCGCTGTCCCACATCATATTGAAACTCACACAAAACAGTTTAAATTTACACTCTTATTTGGAAGTGAACAAGAGTTACTTTTTGTCCTGTAGCCTACCCAGAATGCATCGCTTCAGTTTTACAATAAACAGTTTAAAATCGCTAATATATCTGCATGCTTTCTTACCGAAGCCTTGCCATAAACATAAGAAAACGACCAAGAAGCAGCAGAGCTAACAATCCACAACTAGTTTATTTCTTAACACCATGAATCAAAAGTCTGTTTCAACAAATCACCTCCCCAAACTGCGACAATATGAGCCAGTTTGTGAAAGGAATTGATCATTCCACTAGTTGGCAGTATTGTGCTGCTGACCTGTCTTTTGGTATCACTGGAATGTTTTCTGGTGAATGGAGACAGATTTGCGTTTCATGTTTAGCTTCCGCTAAGTTTTATGAAGAATATGTACTTTTAAACTTGCGGACTTAAGCGCTTCAGAAATTGCCCAACTACATTTTGAATTAGCACTGCCCATTACTGTATTTATTTAAGTATTTGTGTATTTAAAATCAATCTTCGGGGCGGRGAAGTGTCTTCAAATTTTTTTTACAGGATGAAACATTTTTGTTTTTTAAACACAATCAAACCTGGTGAAGTTTCAACACACCTCAGTAAAACTTCGCTGTATTTTTAGGAAAACTCTGAACTCCTCTGATCAAGACATTGAGATTCTTCAGCCAATCAACTTGGAGCTGCTGGTCATCAGAAACCTGTCTGGTTCCTGGTTCTCCGAGCTCCCCGGGGTCCGGGTCCAGGGTCTTCTCCAGTCCCTTCGTGTACGTCTCTCATGTGTGCTGTTGATCTAAAGAAGAGTTTTTACTTGTAGCAGGGTGTGAACGTGTGTCATTGGTTCTGTAGATAAGTCTGGGTGAAGAAGACCTCGGTGTCCTGATGAAGATTCTGGTGGAGAACATCGGGGAGGGAAGTAAGAAACACAACATGGACGTGAAAGGACAGGCGGCCCAGGGTGAGTTTAAACCTGGAGACTTCACGACTGTTTCTACTGGAAATACTGTGGTTTCACTTTTTTTAGCAAATGTTGCAAAGTCAACTTTACAATAAAATAAAACTTTGACTTTTAGCCAGTGTGTCTGTTTGAAATATTTTGCTAATGATGAGTTCCATTAGTTGTATTCAGCAGAAGGTAACCTGTGTTCACCTCCACAGAAAAGGCAGAGCAGGTGGAAGTGAAGTCGTTACAGTCCAGACCTGATGGACAGGCGACTGCCACCAGTGGAGGACTGGCTGAGAACGCCATCAATGTTCTGCTCAACTTTGAAGTCAAAGAGGTACAAAGTCAAATCAGCTGAACTTCTGAACAAAACACAGCGAGGACACCCACAGTCCTGATCATATCTCCATTAACAGGGTTCCTGCAGATCCTTAAAAAGTCTTAAAAGTCATTGAATTCATCAATCCAAAAATAAGGCCTTAATTAGCCTTAAAATGTCTTAAATCAATCTTTCAGAGGTCTTAAATGTTAACACATTGTAAGTAGGATGATTCATCTCAAATATTAAAATAATTGGTAAAATTATTTTTTTAAATATTCACATGCAGACATTATCCTCTGACATCACTTCCTGTTACTTCACATGTAAATATCTCAACAACTGTCCATCTGAGCAATGTGAAATTCATTTTGTAATATGTTTATGTTGTTTTTCCAAAAATGCATTCACTTTTCTTACATTAAAAATTGATGTCACAGGCACTTTAAGGTTTCATCTACAACAAATTGGGGTTAAGCCCCAACGGTGGGTCGTAAAACTCCAGATTTTGGGTCGTTAGAGGATTTCCAGAAATTAAATTAAGTTTAAAACTGACTGCTAAGAACATTTCTGCTATAGTTAGATATGGATAAAAACAACTGGTCTATTAGCAATATTTAAATAC